TGGTAGAGCAGCGGCGTATCAAGCCGAAGATTGTGGGTTCGAATCCCGTTTGTGCCATTGACTTTTTTAACTCAACTGAAAACCTTAATTAATTGTAAGATATTAATAGATCAAGCGGGCCACGAAACTGATGAAATTATAACTAATAATGTTATTAAAATAAAACAAATGAAACTAAAACAATTCATGGTCACTCTGGATCAAAGTATTGTCATGAAGAAAAAAGCAAGTTCTTCATATTTTTATTGCCAAACTTTCAACCTATTTTAAGGTCATCATCAGGGCCTATATTAGTTTCCCATTACGAAATACATATTTGTACAAGTGATTTAACAATTGTTTGTCATAATGGGAAATTAATATAAATTAATATTCGTGAGTGAAAAAGTGATACTTTTAACATTGAAAACAAAAATAATTCTAAAATTAGTACTACTTTGATCTTACAATGAAGAGAAAAACGAGCATAAGGACTAGGAGTGCTTTTAGATTCAATTAGAGGCATGGAATCTTATTTTATCGATAAAATATATCTGTTTTTCAATATTTTGATTTTTTTTACGAGGGTTCGCAACAGCAGAAGTCATATGCCTCAGGGTGCCGTGTTTTTGTAAAAAAGCCCATTTGTAAGTATGTCGGGTTCGAATGCAGGGCCGTTGGATTCGAACCCGGGACCTTTACCTTACAGTGATGAGCGCCGTGTCAAAGACTAAACCTTGCGGCCACCGAAGCCCCCCCCCTGCATGTTAAAAGACATTTTGTACGATGAAGGTTGTAAAACCCCCAAACGGTGTCATTATTAGCTGATGACTATTTACAAGTGACTTTAACTATTGAAATTATTAAATAGGAATATGATCAAATATTGTCTGAACAGTGGATCAAAAATAAAATGGATTAAGTATAATGCGTATAAAAATATCACCTCCTAATCAAAAGGCTTTTTGCTTTAAACGTAAAAGTACCTATTTAAACTATATTCATATTCAAATTTCAGCCAGGTCGTCTGAAAATATTAACCGAACCCAGGTCTTGAAGTTGGTGATCTGATGAAACGCGTCTCACGGATCAAGATGATGAGTAAAGTTCAAATCACATCTTAATTAGGTATATACCTATATATAAAAAAGTGGGATTCTGCTTTTACAGCATTCTCATCTTTGTTCTTAACTGAATGCTAGTTTTTCTCAATTTTTTTTTTGTATAATGACAATAAATTCAAAGAATGAAGTCAAATAATATAATTCTTTTTAAATACATTGAAAATAGCGCAAATGTTTTCGTTCATATGACACCAGAAGAATAGCAACACACTTTATGTGAGTATGAATGGTTCAAAATTTATGTTCACACATGTAATGTATTTTTTCCCAATCCATATGTTTTTTAATTTACCCCGGCTCTGAAGATGACCCGACTAAAGGTCGAAACGTCGGCAAAAAAATGAAAACGGTTTTTTCTAAATACTTCTTTCTCGACTGCTCCTCACGACAAATTATTGAACAACCAGTCACTAAAAACGCACATTTTAAAGTTAACTTTTTTCTTTGGCCCGATTGGCAAGACCATTGGGTGGGGCGCATGGTTAAAATTTTCAATCTAGTATCAACAAAAAAGTTCGATTAAAATTGGTGATCCAACGATCGGCTTCTTCTAAGAAAAAAACTGACATTAATAAACCAAAAATTAGAACTGACGACTTAAAAATGGATGAGTTAGAACCGAACTTGAACTTTTTAAGATCATACAAATTAGCAAAAATGCCAACATTGCATTGCAAAAGCTTACAATATAATAGATTTTATATATATAAAGCAATGATTCAAAAATATTTAATTGGGATACATTATATCTATATCTAATTGATGATTTTCCAAGCATTCATAAAATTACATATAGCAAAGTATATTTCCTATATTAGCTAATTTTACATTTAAAATTCTAGCTGTTTTTTCGTATTCTGAAAGGCATTGATTTTCGAATTTGTTTGTTAGCATTTGCTTCGACAAGCCTGTAGACTTGCAAAATTTTAGAAACTCCGGGAACTATTTTTCACAAAAAACAAGTTTCTTAAATTGTAAGAATCCTTATTTATCTATAATTATATACTAATCTAATTTATGATATTCGTTCTTCTTCCAAGACGAGCATCAGTAACGAATGCATAAGAATTGACTTTTGATGGAAAAGTGTAAAAATTAATAATAGGTCGCAAGGCGGACCAGGCGGTGTCGTAACCTGCATTTAAAGTCCGGGTAATTTTCCACATTTGACCATCAGATTTTCGCAAGCCCGGAGGGCGGTTCAAGAGCAACTGCGCAAATTCTGCATAAAGGGCATTACAGGCGGATTCGTGTTGAACCAAAGGCATGAGCTGTTGGTCAACCTCACGGCGACCTTTCTATGACGTGCCACAAATTCTTCGCCGGTTGGCCTGAACTGGGCCTCATTCATTCCGAACCCCGCCAACACGTGAATCCAAAATGCAAAATTGTGATAGTTTTAACGTTAACACGCCTTTCTCCCACGTCACTCTAGAATGCAATTCGTTCCTAGTTGCACACCCGTGTGACGTAAGTGTAACGCCCTTTTCATTCTGATCAAATTAAGCAACCTGTGGCCATTAAAACACTTTGTGTAAGAAGGCAAAAGGATTTGCACGATTTATTGTTTCGTGAATACCATTTTATAGATCCAACGTTTCTCATAAGAAAGCCAGATAATATTAAAACTTCAATCAACAATCCCCTACCAACCAATCAAAATAAATATGTTAATAATAAAATTTATCTTTTTTTAAACGCTTATCTTGATGAAAAGAATCAGCATATAATTTATACATGTTAATGTCATTTATTTAACTACAAAACGGTTTGGCACATCAGCCTCAGTAATTTGGTTGTTTCCAACGATCTTAGTCTTTTTTGATCAAACTGCAGTCATTAGAACTGACAATCAGGATGAAATATTGCAAAAAATCTTCGACATCTAGATGATAATGATGGTTACTAGTGATTAAGTGTTTTTGTTCCCTAGGCTCTGCAGCCTTCTGCGTTATTGTACTTACATTGATCCTTAGTTCAGTGCGGTCGACTCGATCCTTCTCCTAAGAAGTACAGGTCATTGACTGTCTTGGTACAGTCTTCTTCCTCCTCATCTCATACCGTACAAATGGGGTCTTCATGATGACCCCATTTGTAGGTGGAATACGCCCATGTTGTTTAGTGTTGAATAGTCCATCACGCCTTTGAGTTTATCCCTCTCTAAGGCCTTCCTCACCAGACTTATCCGAGGGTGGGTGTCCATACAAGAAGATGGAAAGTTACACCTGAAATGGATAAGTCTTCTCAAGTGGCAGTTCAAAGATGTGAAGAGGAAGTTAGTGACAGAGTCAACGATGGACGAAAATCCTATTTAAATGTACCATCCAGTTTGCCTTTTAAATGTAAACTGTAAATTCATCCAAGCAAAATGACAGGAAGAGTGGAGAAAAAACTCCAAACAAAAAACTTTACATGGATTTTAAACTGATTCAGGTCAGGTCACAGGTGTAACAGGGAATACTAGCAGCGATTTAGGATAATAGACAGCCCAGTATGTCCTTCTGACGATCCACATGCTCAATCATGGAGCCACATGATTTACCATTGTCAAAAAGAAGATCAAATATGTGCCAAAATGCTTTGAGAACTCGTCTAACGAAGAAAATAATGGTTACAAAATGAAAATAATACAAGTCATTTTTCCAATTGATCTCCAGTATGAACTCTAACAAACTGTAGATATAATGAAGTCAATCGGTGACACTGCTAGACCGTGGTCGTCAATGAATGACCCTCACTCTTGCATCATCCAGCTCTGGGCCGGGATCAAGAGGTAATCCAAATGCTGAACGGTACTACCGTACACGCATGCCGGCATGTTGGATGTCCAAATCTGAGCATGTGTTTTAGGTTAAGTCCATGTCCGTTGAGTTTTTACGCTAGCTGCGGCGTGACCCCCCCCCTCGTAAAGGTCAAATCGAGCTGTCCTCGGCAGCTTGAAAAATTGTCACGTTTCTTCCCTTTTCGTAGAACTCCATGAAAGATTCATTTATTTAACGGTCTCCTCAAAATGGTAGTTTCTAATTAGGAGTAAGAGATAGTTTTAATCCATCGGTAGATTTCGCAACCTCCTTAGCCAGTTCAGGATGTGGATCATCTCTTGAACTGGACGCTGCAAGAACGAGGGTCATTCAGCATATCATCCTTACAACTATGGTCTGACGGTAACACTGAAACGACATCGTCAAAAAAGAAAACTTTTCAATTTGAATTTAGTACCAAAGTAAATTTGCATCATTTTAACAAAATTACATGTAGGGAAATAAAATCAAATAAACAAATAGTGATTATTTAAAGAACGTGAAATGCGGTCTGGTGTGATTTTGGTAAGCAAAAAAATGTTTTTATCGTGCTAACGTTCTATCGTTATTCAGATCATCCTCAGGTGCTGGGACTTATAATCATTATAGAAATTTGTATAAGATATTAATAAGAATTATACAATGATGTATACATTATAGAATTTTTAGGTTTAATCAAAGTATTTGTACGTAACACCAGACCGCATCTCACGATCAATAAATAATCACAAAATAACGATCACTAAACGTTTCACATTTCTACATGTGAATAAATAATAATACACACCGTGCAAAAAGGGCAATAAATGAACATAAATATTCAAAAATCTGGAAACACAACAGGCTAATTTTAATTTCTTTATAATTATACGTTATTAGCATAAAATTTTACCAAACTATCTTAAAAGATAGATTAAATCCTAACCCTATTAACTAAAAAAAGATTGTATAGATGCGTTTGATTTTAAACAAATAACACGTAACTTTACATGATCAAAATGCCAAAATTAAGGAAATGTTTCTCAACCCTGTACGGTTCAGTTAAGAGCGTTTCGTATAAAAGTGAAGAGAGGACGTAAATGAGCATCAGTCAGTTGTGAACAAGCACGGGCAGACTAACGTACATAATGAGCACTTTTGCCGTTTTCTTCTTCTGCATCGTTGCTGCCGCCACAGCACAATCGGGAGGACACAGTGAAGAAAGTCTCGGCCACTACGAACATTACGACTATTACGTAAGTTATATGAAATATAATATTTTGTCAAATATTTATGCGTGTGCTGTTTACTCCAGGCACCGCCCCACTACAGCTACGAATACAAAGTTCACGACGAGCATACAGGAGACGTCAAATCTCACCATGAAACTAGGGAAGGCGATAAAGTCAAGGGATTCTACATGTTGAAAGAAGCCGATGGTACGGTCAGGGAAGTCCATTATACCGCCGATCACAAAAATGGTTTCAACGCTGAAGTCAAAAGAGTAGGACATGCCGTCCACCACGTACCTGAATACCAACATCATTACTAACAAATTATATGTAAAGAAAACTATGCAACGTAATGTAAATTTGTACTAAAAAGTATACAAACGTATGATAATATATATTTATGCTTGCTGTATAAAACCATGTTCAGCATCATTCCCAAGTAGCTGTACTCAAGAACCCAAAAGCAGTATAAAACAGAAATAATTTATTCATGAATAGTACATGAGTTTGATTTAAAAAAAAAGAAGCTAAATACTAACTTTTTCATTATTGGTCTCATCTTACGCTTAATTATATAATTACTCAATCAATCTTAATTACATACAATTTTTTCGAAATGAAAAATTTGTGTCACAGGCGGTCAGAACACAATCTATTAATTCGTATGGATATGTGATATTATTTTTCTTAATACATAAAACATAATTATTACTGTGTTTAATTAATTAATATTTATGAAAGGTATTGGTTGAGATAAAAAAGTCTGTGCCACGAGCGGGATTCGAACCCACGACCTTCGGCTAAATACGCCGCTGCTCTACCACTTGAGCTATCGATCGCCCATGCCACAAGAAAGTTTGGTGGGTTCGAATTCCGCCTGTGACACAAATTTTTCATTTAAAAAAATGCGTATAATTCATTGAGTAATTATGCTAAATGTTAAATGATGCGCTCGTACGTCGTCAGATTCGCATAAAGATATGTCTAGGGTTTTGTGTCTATTTTATGGTTGACAGCCGGAGGAACATATGAGAGGCTATTTTATTTAGTTAACAAACTATAAAGCAGAGAGTCAGTAACGAAAGAGAGAAGCTCAATTAGCTGCTGTATAAACAAGTTTGCGTGAAAGATGAGAAAAAGACTTAACTAAAGGCAGAGAGCCTTCAGCTCTTTATTTATAACTGTGTATTCAGCCATATTTGTTGTTATTATAAAAACACCAATTTTGAAGCTATATATTTATAAAGTTTTTATATAAAATCGTCGAAGATATATGTCGAATTCTACAATTCTTCCATTTTAAGTTAGTATTAACCAACTTTCGTATTTTGGGTATTAATTTTGTCGCGCTAATGAATATAAATTTATATTAGGGATGAGGCTAATTTGAAAGAAAAACATAAATTCGTTCGTTAGGTTTTCGAAGAAATGAATCGCCTTCAACATTAACAATATTCAATATCTTTTTATGTAAGCTTAAAGCTTTTTATGTAAACCTTAATTAATTGAAAAATATTAATTAGTCAAGCGGACGACGAAAACTAGTGAATTTTTATGTAAGGTTTTGCTGCTCGAGTCGTTAGAGCAGAGGCGTATTGAACCGTAGGTCGTTGGTTCGAATCCCACTCGTGACACTAACTTTTTCATTTCAACCAAAACCTTACATAAAAAGATTAATTAATTGAAAAAAGTAATTTGGTCAATCAGACCATTAAATGTAATTGTTTAACAATATTATTAAAAAATTACAAGGCAAACAGATATGAACATCTATTTACACTATTGAAACTTAAGGTTTTATGCATAATAAAATTATGGATTGAATTTTTATACTAAACGAGGACAGACAAATAGACGAGTTGTAGACTTCCCCATATGGTCTGCGGGATGATAATCCTTTTGTTTGATAGTTACCTCACAAAAATCAGTGAGGTTAAGCGGACCCATCCTATTATACAGACATGGGATCGCCGAATTTAATGAAACATTTTGTACTGATATTAAAGCGACTAATATTAGACATGTACCCAAGATTCTTTGCCAATCGGTCTTAAGAGCGGAAAATTTTTTAACCTATCTAACTTATTTTAACCTAGGTTACTTTGTAATAAATTAGGTATTTCAATATCTAAATACCCATAATGGATACCCATATAAAATGGATACCATATACAATTTGGATATAGTAATCGAGTGTCATAGCAAAAATAAGTTAATAATATTTTTAGTAACAAAATGTTGATTTTTTTTCGCACCTCATAACCCTGAATTCAAATCATCAAGAATACAAAAAGTCAGTTTTTCCCAAATTTTTCTCCTTCCTAAAATTATTAAAAAATCACAAAAATGCTGATATACTGCAAATAAATTGAAAAAAATATACAAGGTTGTGAACACTTTAAACTACACCTAATGACATAAACCTACCACGTACAAAAACGTAAATGAATCCCCTTTTGAAAGTTTTACTTTAAATCAGGTCAATCAAAATGGAATAAAATTTAAACGTTGCTAAAGGTCTTTTCAATTAATTAATCTTTAATTTTGGTTTTGGTTGAGATAAAAAAGTAAGTGCCACGAGCGGGATTCGAACCACGAAATTGTCACGATAGCTCAACTGGTAGAGCAGTGGCGTATTTAGCCGAAGGTCGTGGGTTCGAATCCCGCTCGTGACACTCACTTTTTTATTTCAACCAAAACCTTAATTAAACATTAATCAATTGAAAAGAATTTATTAGGTTAATCGGACCACGAAACCTAATAGATGTTGCTGAAATTATTGAAATACAGCTTTCTGTCATTTGAAATAACGTTGATTTTGGATAAAATCCAGAGAAGTTGTGGTTTTTCAAGTGGAACACCGAACATTGGAAAAAATTGCCGTAGGCTCAATCCAGCATAAAAATGTCTATTTTTTGCAATAAAAAATATTTTTTAGATCAAAATTTGTGACAAATTTACAAATAACCACTTGCAATAAATTGTACCGAATTTGTAAATTTTGTCAGTAATTACGACTATCGTTGTAACTTACATTTAGCTCAATGAAGTTTTACAAATAAAAATAAAACTGTTTACTAGGGGAGACTACGGACGTGGGATCAACTACTCTGTTGTATTCGTCCGTAGGCGACAAAATTGTACTGTATTATTAGAATATTTATAAAGGTACAGAAAATGTTGAATAAACCGTGCGATATAGCATAGCAAGACAAAGGCAAAGATCGTATTTAAAAAATTACTTCAAGAATTTTTCTCGTCTCGTTAAGTCCATTGGCATGGATCCCTCCTTTCTCCATCAACAGGGCATCTTCTTCTGTCTTATAATGGAATTTTGGAGTAACAAGAAGAACGTCTGAAAAGACTGATGAATTATTGTGTCAGATTTATTTTTGGCACCCTCAAATATCTAGTGTCTCACACGTGTATTCAGAATATCCTGGCTTTATCACTCCTTCCTTAAAGTTCCTTAAGTATTTCCTAGGCTCCTTCCTTTATTAATCTATACTCTCGTCGACCTCACGATATTGTCAAGCTATTTTAGTTCAAATTCTCTCTCCACTCTCAAACGCTCGCTCGTTGCCCAATAATATATATCTTCCTCGTCATAAAACCTCTACATTTGAGAAAAGAAAATTAAAAAAAAAATTACTTCCAAACATTTTACTAATTTTTTATAATCATTATTGGTTACAAAGTAAAAACTTCTCTAAGTCCGTAATAAAATAATTGATTGTATGACAAGTTTATCTTAAGACTCGCTCGTTTCCCAATGACATGTAACTTCCTCCTCATAAAACTAACTTCCTAGCTCGAGCCACAAATCTCTGGAATTCCTTTTCCAATCCGCAAAGCTGTCTCTCTCACTTCTTTTAAATCCCTTCTGTATCAACACCTCATCTCCCTCCAAACATTGTCAACATAATTCACAATATTTCTTAGTGCTTTTGCTACATAAGAAAGCTTGTTATCTTCCTTTTCTCAACTTTTAAGTTTACAGTTATTATGTTTGCACGAGAGAGAGAATTTTTTATTATTAGTATTTTTCCCTAAATTCTTATTATTGTTCTTTATTTCTATTTTTTTTTAAATATTTTGTATTATGTGATTTAGTTAATCATAACTTTATGTGAACGTCAAACCTTCATCAATTCAAGTGACAGATTTAGAAAATTTTGTGTCCTTATTGCTAATCTTAGAGGAATTATTAGGAACTCATTATTAATTATTTATTATTATTTTCAGAATTATTCTCTCTCTATATATTGGCAAGAACGCTTGGACTGGTGTCCAACATTTTCCGACCTAGTATACCAAAAAAAATGTATAATTGAAATCACCACGACTGTAGCATTTATTGTGTTTTCTTTCAAATCAGAATTAGTCCTGATTTTTAATGCATAATTATCAAATTAAAGGCTGATATTAGTTATGTCGGATAAAATTTATGATTAAACACCGAAAAATGGCAAAAAGGAGGGAAAATTCGAGAGATGAGGTTGATATGGGAGGTTAGTGTCCGAGCTCAAGTGGTAGAGCAGCGGCGTATTTAGCCAAAGGTCGTGGGTTCGAATCTCGCTCGTGACGCTGGCTTTTTTATCTCAACCAATACCTTTCATAAATATTAATTAATTAAACACAGTAATAATTACGTTTTATTAATTAACAAAAATAATATCACACATCCATATGAATTAATAGATTGTATTCTGAAAAACAAAATTACCGTTGTTTTTTAACCTTTTCCTAAAGCTAAAAATTGCTCCAAATTGAATTACTTATTATAACTCTGACTGAGCGACTTTCATGAATTTGTCAATCTGGAATTTGCCCAATCCTGTGATCAAATATTTTATACGTGCCTCATTACAAATTTTATTGTCAGAATGAACAATGTCTGTGCCATATTAATTGAAGCTGAATGAATAAAAGTGTGCACCTTTTATCTTTTATTTTATGATTTTAATGTGTCTTCGGATGCATGTTCTAACTCTACAATTCAAACGACAATAGGACGGGTTTTCTAGAGGTTAAAAATTTTATATTTGTACGATACGTTTTTGATCCTGCTGATACTTTTTTACTTTTGTTTACCGCCTGTGAATGTCCTGTTTTAGGGACTGGAGTCGTTTGTATAAACATTTTCCTCGTTTAAAAATAACGACATCCTATATTCTTCTTGAGTTTGTCTTTTTATGTGTAGATTTTTGTTTTTACAGAATTGGGACAGAAACGTTCGTTCTGACTTTTCTTGTCTACCAACAATTTTTCGCTTCGAATGGTACATTTTATTAAAATTGGGTGATAGTTTTTCTCTATAACAATTGATGTCTATCCTTCATTAAAAAATAATATTTTCCTTCTTTGAGAGTAAAATTATACATTTGTATGGCAGTAATAAACTAATTAAAAAGAAGTATAAAATAATTAATTGCAAAACGCCAGGCGGTGAAGACAATAAAATAAAAAAGTTCACACCAATATCATTTTGAGTGTATTTTCTGCCATTTCTAATTATTATTTAATTAAGTTATGCATTACTTTACAACGAAGAAATAAATCGCAATTTTTATGACGTTATATCACGAATTCTTTCAGATTTATGACTATAAAAATTATTACGCCATATCCGCCGTCAGAATGTTCCTAACCAAACTCCCGAGGCAACTTTCTATTGTTATAACCAATTTACAGGTATTTTGAATCATTTTTGGTTATTTTTTCTGCAAAACCATAACATATAAATATTTGCTATTACAAATCGATTGTAAATGTACGCACTTGCAACTGCACTAAATAGCTAACAAAACATGGCTTCAGTTTATTCGAAAAGGTATTTTGACATTTAAATTTTGTGTCACTACCATCATTAAGTGCAATAGATATACCGCAAATTTCTTTTTAAAATCATTCGCATGAAGTCTCAAGCAGTGATGTAGCAAATTTAACAAAAAATTATTTATTCCCGTAACTGTTGCGTCACAAATCATAAGATATGCATGTTTTTAGTAGGTTACATTAGTTAAAGTTACATTAGATGCGTTCAGAACTAGCAGGTCTCTTCATATGAAATAATATAGCGGGACATATGATATACACTATACACTATATGGTATATAGAGACCACGATATTCAGAAGAAATTTAGCTGAATATTTAAAAGGCTTAATTCTTTCAACGTAACAGTTGCTTGCAAGCTTAGAATACTCATGTGTAATGTGTGAAAACCATGTTTGAAGGAAATTGTAGGTAACACAATTGGAAATGAGGATTGATTACTTACAATATATAAATTAAAAAAACGCTTTTCATAAGAAACATTTCATGAACACATTTCATATTACAAAAGTACAACGTATTGTTAGACATATTTTAATTATTAATTGATAATTAGTAATGGTGATGGTATTCAGGTACTAGAGGGACAGCATGTCCGACTCTTTTGACTTCAGCGTTGAAACCATTTTTGTGATCGGCGGTGTAATGGACTTCTCTGACCGTACCATCAGCTTCTTTCAGCATGTAGAATCCCTTGACTTTGTCACCTTCTCTGGTTTCATGTTGAGATTTGACGTCTCCTTTGTGTTCGTCGTGAACTTTGTATTCAAAGGTGTAGTGGGGTGGTGCCTTAAAATAAATAGAAAATTATTTTGTTATCATTTCAATTGATAAACCTTCATATTGAATACGTACGTAGTAATCATGATGTTCTTGGTGGCCCTGATCTTCTTCCTCTTTTTGGTTGGGCACTGGTACTGATGCTTCCTGATGTACGGCATGTCCAACTCGTTTGACCTCAGCGTTGAAACCATTTTTGTGATCGGCGGTGTAATGGACTTCTCTGACTGTACCATCAGCTTCTTTCAGCATGTAGAATCCTTTGACTTTGTCTCCTTCCCTTGTCTCATGGTGAGATTTGACGTCACCTTTATGCTCGTCGTGCACTTTATATTCGAAGCTGTAATGTGGTGGAGCCTGGGAAAACAGAAAATTCCCCTTAATATTAAATTCACTAATTTCGTGGTCCGCTTGACCAATTAATATATTACAATTAATTAAGGTTTTTTTAGTGAGATAAAAAAGTCAATGGCACGGTCGGGATTCGAACCCACGATCTTTGGCTAGATACGCCGCTGCTCTACCACTTGAGCTATCGTGACCTCGATCCACTCGGACACTAACCTCTCTTGAAAAATGGCAAAAAGGAGGGAAAATTCAAAAGGTGGGGTTGCGATGAGAAGTTAGTGTACGAGTGGATCGAGGTCACGATAGCTGAAGTGGTAGAGCAGCGGCGTATCTAGCCGAAAAACGTGGGTTCAAATCCCGCTCGTGCCATTGACTTTTCTATCTGAACTAAAAAATTCCCCTTAGTATGTTGAAAATTCAAATAATTTTATAGACTTACATAATAGTCGTGAAGTTCCTGGTGCCCTAGACCTTCTTCCCGATGTTCTTCTAGTGGCGCGCTAGTTGCAACAACAATGCAAGCGAATAAGACAACGAATCTGTTCATTGTTTGTTTGTGGCTATTCACTAGAGAATGACGCTGATTTACTTTCGTTTAACAATTTTTATAAGTAACACTCGGAACTGGACCGTACAGGATTAAGAAAGGGATAATTAATTACAAAGAATGTAACGTTATGAGTTGGGCAAAACCGATAGTCTTGGCATTCCTACCATATTTTTCATTGTACAAAAATCCTTCACATTTATTTCAAAATCAGAAATCTTGGTTAAACTCCCTTCACAGTTATAATTCTTCCAATCAGTACCGTAAGGGGCGTCGGTGACCGCAACGGTTTAGACATTGACACGGCGCTTATCACTGTAAGGTAAAGGTCCCGGGTTCGAATTCAGCAGACCTGCATACTTACAATTTTTTTTACAAAAACACCAGCACCCGGAGTGTCGATATAACCTATGCTGTTGCGAATTGTCGTTTAAAAAAAGAAAAAAAACAGCACCGTCCTTGCGAGTAAATGACAAACTAAAAACTTTTTGTGTACAATTGAAAATAAATCTTTGATGTAGTCAAAATAAAATCATAAAAACATAGCCTTTCTGGAATATAACAGAAATTCTATGTAATATTAAAAATTCCGTTTTATTTTGATATTTCAAAGTGAGATTATATTTCTACTATATTTAATTAAATTGAATTTAATTGATAAATTAAGTATATAAGTCTACTTATATTTCAACCTCAACAGTTTAACTTATGATTTTTCCTTCTTGAAGGTAGGATAGTAGGACTTCCCTTACATCCAAGGGTTATCGGAGCAGTTGATAAGTTGTCTGAAAAGAAAGTTTCCTCTAGTTAAGCTGGCCTTCCGAAACAGTAATGCGGTTAAAAAGCACTACTCACCGCTAAAAGAAAAAAAATTGAGAAAGGACTACAATCAGGCCAGGTATACAAAATTGAATGCAAAGACTGCAAGAAAGTATACTTTGGTGAAACCAAACAATACCTAATGAATAGAATTTATCAACATAAATATACAGTGCAAAATAATAAAAACAATGACACTGCCTTGGCACAACATGCAGTTGTTGAAGGTATTGTTACCAAGGAACAAAATAGTAAAAAACGAAAGTTCCTGGAGGCCCTTTATATAAAAAAGAAAAACTGTGTGTTAATTACCGTCAAGACTGTGATATGATAAGTGATTGCTATTTTAATTTGTTAAACAATATATATAAATAATCCCGTCAATTTTAAACTTTGGAGAAAACTTAAAAATCTGTATCAATTGTGATAATAATTGTTAAAATGTTAATAAAAAAAAATAAAAATTGTTGTTTAAAAGTGAATTTTTTTAGAAAAACGTAATTTTAACTGTTGAGTGGTCTTTTTAATGTTAATTCGTTGGTCTGTGATAAGATGTTGAAAAGAGGTTGAAACATCATATGAGAGGTTGTGATAAGAGTCTAGTCAGGTTCAAAATATTCAAAAGTTTGTTCAGAGTCTGAAAGATTTAAATATGTACCACACAGGCTCTTTTTTAAAATAAACTGTTATAAAATATTAATGACTGACAACCACTGTTTTAACCATTGTAAATAGTGAAGAAATAATGATAACCATGCTGATCTAAAAATGTAAGAAATATTTGTTCAGTGAATAGGCGTTAACTCACCTGAGGGAGGATTAAAATAAATCCGAAACGTTGTGGATAAAAACTGGTTGTAGTTTTTTTGAGATGACCTATTATCCCACTTTCAAGAAGGAAAAATCATAAGTTATATAAGACTATTTTAATCATTCAGAAAAAGTAGCTCTTTTATTTATTTAAAAATAATTAAAAGAAAATTAATATAAGTTTTTCATAGTACACAAATGCCGCTCCCAACCAACCGTAACATTGTCAGTGTTGACACCATACTTAAAAACATAAACATAATAATATGTATAGAAAGGAAATAAGGAATACTATTACTTTTGTATGCATTTTTAAGTGTTTTAGGTGGGGTAGGCTATTTAAAATTGTTGGAGGTTCATTAATTGTTCATTAATGTATTTTGTCTTTTTTAATTAATAAATGTTACACATTAAGTTATTTTATCGTTCACAGTATTTTACAACCAAATGGTAGGCATTTTTTGTTAAATTTTACAAAACGAGGCCAAATAGAGTTTTGGGTCTTTTGAGAATCCCATAATGATTCCTTAATTTGATAAATAATTTTTGAGTGGAAGGTAAAATGCACGTTAATTTACATTATACAATGTATTTACAATACACTATACAAATCGATACAAAACACGAATCGCATAATTTTGTATTTAAAGATAACAAAGTTTGTGTTTGTTATGAAAATTATGAGAAAAAAAAATTCGGAAACATGGTAATAAAAATTACCGAATTCAGACATATCATGCATTCAACGAAGCATTGAAACAAAACATCAAAATCATAATCATTTTGTTGTATCTTCTTTTAAACCGAACATTGTAAATTTGACTTTTTGATATGGCAGAACACTGGAGAAGAAATCCTTCTTTATTTGTGTAATAAATATTATATATAAATATACAATTTATGTATAAAATTAAATTTATTTTAATTTTATTATATATACTTTATATATAAATATATAATAGTATTTATTCTAAATAAATATATATATTTTATTTATATTTGGCAAAGATTGGTTTTATCTAACATATAAGGTTACATGATTACCTTCCACAATAAAGAAAAGATTTCTTAATGCTGTACGGTCCAGTTCCGACCGTGTGTTATAAAAACTGAAAGGCTAACGTAAATGAGCATCAGTACCTCGTAAACAATCGGGAAGAAACAATGAATACTTTTGTTATTTTATTCGCCTGCGTTGTTGTTGCAACTTGCGCGCCATTTAAAGGGCAAGGAGAAGAAGGACTTGAAGGGCACCATGAACATTTCGACTACTATGTAAGTATTAAAAACTTTATTGATTGCTAGTATATCGACGCTATTTTACTATTGATTCCAGGCTCCACCACATTACAGCTTCGAATATAAAGTGCACGACGAGCATAAAGGTGACGTCAAATCTCATCATGAGACTAGGGAAGGCGACAAAGTCAAAGGATTCTACATGCTGAAAGAGCCCGACGGCACTGTTAGGGAAGTCCATTACACCGCCGATCATAAAAATGGTTTCAACGCTGAAGTCAAGAGGGTGGGACATGCTGTCCACCAAGAAGAACCAGTCCCAGTGCACCACGAAAAAGTAGAAGAAGAACAAGGCCACGAGGAACATCATGACTACTACGTAAATTCAATATTTAAAAGGTTTATTATTCGATAAGAGTTTAAAATCATTTCCTGCTTAATTTAGGCCCCACCCCACTACAGCTACGAATACAAAGTTCACGACGAGCATACGGGAGACTTCAAATCTCAACATGAGACTAGGGAAGGTGACAAAGTCAAAGGATTCTACATGCTGAAAGAAGCTGATGGTACAGTCAGGGAAGTCCATTACACCGCTGACCACAAAAATGGTTTCAACGCCGAAGTCAAAAGGGTAGGGCATGCTGTCCACCATGTACCTATGTACCATCATCATTAGTAAAGAATTTATGTAAAACATATAATACGACTGTTGTACATTTGTAAAATAAAAAGACCTTATTATATAAAATTAATGTTTTTACCTTGATGCCATACTTTAATGTTTATTATTTTTTGATCAAGTGCATAAAAATAGCAATAATTCTTTGTCTTATGTCCAACATACTATTACCTGTGTAATGTTTGAAATTATAGTCAATGTAGTGTTCAAAATAATTATTTAATGTGACGATTTTACAGACGAGAAAATGCAGACGTGTTTATTTATTTAAACATTTCAATGTCAACGACGAATCTGCAAACTGTTTTTCTCTAGTTTTATTCCGACTTCAAATGTTAAATATTTCACATTATTTTATGTCAATGATGATTTGACCGATGAAATGTAGCTGAACGTTGAACCAACATTAAAATTAGCAAATAACCCATGACAATTAAATTAAAAAGAGATATTGGAATCGAATCTAATTGATCTTGGTTTAATTTCTTAATTAAAAAAATCTATCCGTTAAACAAGTATCGAGGAATTTATATAAAATAATAAGTAATTTGATACTTTATCACATATTATTGCGGAATAAATAATTGAAAAATATGGAAATAGAGGATAAAATTGTACAAAATACAACAGTCCCATAATATGGATACTGGAAAGCCCTCTATGAAGCACATGAATGCCACCACTATTTTTAATGAAGTTGTAAGAAAACCTTAAAATTTGTTGCAAATTTGTCATGAGAATTATACATGTGGCCAGTCTGACAGAGAAAATATACAGTAGTAGACGAAAGACTATTGAATCTTTATAAAACTATTCGTAACCATCCTTAACCGTCGACTGTATTCAATCTTTTAAATATTTAGTAAAATTTGACATATATAAATCTTAAAAATCAATCTGAAAAAAATTGAGACATACAAATATATTCTAAATAAAAACATTTAGGTTTGTACTTTCTGCTCAACTGGTGTGCTTATCCTGCTGGTGTTGGTATTTGTCATTTTTTGTTATTACAAACTATACACACTGTGTAATGAGCTGCAATATTTTTCTCATCTGACATTGTTATAATATCATGAAGGAAGGAAACGTTGGTCCTCTCCCAGCTTTTCTCAATAGTTACATGGGTCAGAGGTACCCGAGACCGTCTTTGCTTCAATCGCCTGACGGGGTGTAGAGGTGGGTTATGTGGAACATGGATCAGGCTCATTAGACATTGTCTCATTGGTTGGGATTTGACTATAGTTTTGTTTGTGGAACGCGGAAATTTTTGTTGGGGATTTTTTAATCAGGGGTATTCGGATGTCATAAACAGGCGGTTTTGGAAACGTAGTGGTGAGCATTGACCATGGTTGTGAAGACTTTGGATTTGAAGGAAAGTATTCATTGGATGTTGGAAGGTTTGTTTTGTAAAATTTTTAGTTTGTTTTTGGTCTGTATGTATGATTTTTTAAAAATATAGCAATGTTTAGTATCCGTTTGATTCGAGTGTGACGGTTTCAGGTTAGACGTGAGTCGAGATAGAACCCAATGTCCCCGAAGAAAGCCAGTTTTAGGCAAAGGAAGGCGAAGTGAAGCATATATAAGCAAAGGTAAAGTATATTGACCTGCAGGCCATAGCACTCCAGCGCCCAGAGGCAGTATTTTAATTAGTAAAAGATACCCTCATGCCACACGTCGGCCAAACGCTTGTAAAACGTCAATAAAGGCCCCAAGAAATATTGACTCTGGATAAGTAAACATTCCGGGTAAATTATTTCAAGAACAAATGCCTCGTCGACTTAAAGAAAACAATCAAGTATATAATTGCATAGTAAATTTTAAAATGTAAATTGAAATTACTTATAATTAATACATTTATATTTAATAGTCTAATTGACCATATTAATTATTTCAATTAATTATTCTTTTTATATAAGGTCTGGGTTGAAATGGAAAAATAAGAGCCACGACAGGATTCGAACCCACGACCTTCGGCTTCGAATCCGGCTCGTGACGCTAACTTTTTCATCTCAACAAGATCTTACATTAAAACGAATAAGTAATCGAAGTAATTATTTTTAGGGTTAACTATTTGGAAAAGGCAACAGCAAAATTAATATCATTCAACTGTACATTCTTTGTTTAATTCGGAACTAATAATTTTTTCTTTAAGTTTTAACTACTGATAATGTTAAATTGGATTGTAAAAGGAAGTAACTGTCACATTTTTATTAATGCTCTCACGAATTATGATCTTATTTTTTCTCAACGATAATTTTTTTATATAGAACCAAATTATGATTGAACAGTTTCTTTATCATACATCATTTTGAAAACTTAATAATCTTCAAAACAAGCATAATTTTGTTTTATGCTCTATTATGTGCTTTAGTGGTTCTATATTTGGTCTAAAACATAAAGAATTATCAATTTTCCTTATTCTAAATCCAAAATGTAGTCAAAGATTAAAAAAACATAACAATTTTTATTGGTTCCGATATTATAACAATGATTATACCATAAAAAACAAGAAGGAGCAAATTATCTAAACATTAGATAATAAAAGCAAAATAAATATAGAATGAACAACATTAATTTTTGAAATTTTATTTTGAGGCTTGAAAAACTTGTTTTAATACATCCGGCAAGAGTAAAAACGTAAAATAAATAGTAGTCATAGTTAGGAATGTTAGCGATAAAAAGAAACTAAAAAAGTACTTACTAGATAAGAATCAATAATACAAAAATTCACTTCGGCGAAGGTATAGGCTAAAAAAAGTAACAAGAGTTTTTGACTATGACGATAATATTATTAGTAAATTATTATATGTCATGTACATCAAATTCTATTGTAAAGAGATTTTTTACTGGTAATATTGAATTGGAACGTGGCATGGCCAACCCTTTTGACTGATAATGTAGTATCAAGGAAAAAATGTATAAATTTTATAGGTTATTAAACAATGATACAATTTCTGTCACTTTTCAAAATTTCTGACAAATATTTGTTTAGTAATGATGGTGGGCAGCATGTCCCACCCCAAAATAATTATTTTCAACACTACATTGGCTATAATTTAAAAAACATTACACAGGTAATAGTATATTAGAAATAAGACAAAGAATTATTGCTGTTGTTATGCGCTTGATCAAAAAATAAACATTAAAGTATGTCATCAAGGTAAAAACATTAATTTTATATAATAAGGTCTTTTTATTTTACAAATGTACGACAATTGTACTATATGTTTTACATAAATTCTTTACGAATGATGATGGTACATAGGTACATGGTGGACAGCATGCCTTACCCTTTTGACTTCGGCGTTGAAACCATTTTTGTGGTCAGCGGAGTAATGGACTTCCCTGACTTTACCATCAGCTTCTTTCAGCATGTAGAATCCTTTGACTTTGTCACCTTCCCTAGTCTCATGGTGAGATTTAACGTCTCCCGTATGCTCGTCGTGAACTTTGTATTCGTAACTGTAGTGGGGTGGGGCCTAAATTAAGCAAGAATGATTTTAAACTCTTATCAAATAATAAACCTTTTAAATATTGAATTTACATAGCAGTCATGATGTTCCTCGTGGCCTTGCTCTTCTTCCACTTTTTCGTGGTGCACTGGGAGTGATCAGCTGTGTAATGGACTTCCCTGACTGTACCATCAGCTTCTTTCAGTACGTAGAATCCTTTAACTTTGTCTCCTTCCCTAGTCTCGTGTGACGTCTCCCGTATGACCGGCATGAACTTTGTATTCAAAATTGTAATGAGGTGGTGCCTAAAACATATAAAAAATTTACATTTTTTAATTCATATTTTAGGTATGAATAAAAATACAGTTAAATCACTTACGTAGTAATCGTAATGTTTTCTCTGTGTTTCACCTTCTTCACCGTGTCCTCCCGATTGTGCAGTTGCTACAGCAACGATATACGCCAATAAAACGAGAAATGTTTTCATGGTTCGCTCAAGAAAGTACACACGAGACTGATACTCATTTACGTTTGCCTTTCGTGTTTTATAAGAAACGGTCGTAATTGGACCGTACAAACTCTAGAAATATGTCAATAATTTTGAAGGACGTAATGTTAACCAGGGTGCGTGTGTCTGTAAAATAAATTCCTACAAATATTATTTGCTTAATAGAAGAAGAAGAAACAGAAGACGAATATACTTAAGTACTAATTACGCGACATAAGTAACAGTTAATAGATTTACACTAAATTTTAAGTATTGTAAAACGCCCTATACCTGAGGTTGAAATCCATTTGATTATATTACCACTGTAATTTATTTTAGTCAAAAGTCAAAATAACAATCTAAACTAAAAATCCTATTTTTTACCAATACAAAGTTAATCTTAGAAGAGCATATAATATATAAAAAACTCATACTGATTTAACAACGAGCAACAAAATTGATAATTAAACACCGTCATTAAGTTGTACCTGTACAATTTTCCTAATAGTAATTAAAGGTTTACCGAACCGCGGGCTTGTCAAATCTCTGACAATTGCTACATCAGCGAGAGAGCTACTTCCCATGTATAGCTGGCAAAATTCGGCCTGCACGCGGCACAAAGAAGATTCATCCTGGCATTCAAATTGCACATAGGACATCTTTCCCTGAGAGTATCCTTCCTCAATCAGGGCAAATAATCGAAAAATTAGGAATTCCCCTCAACAGCTTGAACCACCACCTAAATCGACAACGATTCGAGAGACAATACAGACAAAAACACTGAATTCTATATCTGACTCCAATGGGTTCTATAAATAGAATAGGCCCGCATAGCCGTCCTTGAGACTTCTTCCGATGAACTATTCCTATCTTCTGGAAAAATAAGAAAAACTGAGTTTACCACCGAGGCATATTGTCTATGGTAATATAAACCTCACAAGAGTAATTTCGAGTCAAGATACCTCAGGATAACCTCCCTGCCTACAGCATTTACCAATCGATGAACAGGAAGTGAGAACACCCTCAAGCAAAAATTAAAATGCAGGCGAATTGTGCATAAGTAAATTGATTCAACAGAGGATTTAATATTAACCATCCAACCCTGAATTCGGAGAACCGAAAACAAGGTCCCAGAGGTTTTTTACGATCGGACGTGAATACAATTATTTAATTTATCGATCAGGCACCTTTTTTTAATATATTCCAGTCAAACCAAAATAAATACGAGACCAAAATATTAGTTAAATTTAAATCTTTTATTACAATTTATTTCCAAATAAAATTACAATTTCTTTTATTATTTATTATTTTTAATTTAAAAAATCTTTTATTTTATAATAAAACCTATTTCAAAATCTACAAACTTCAGTTATAAAATCGAATTTAATTATCGTTTTATAAAGAAAAGTAAACGTAAAGGAATTATTATTATTATTTTCTTTATTACAAAAGAACAGCTGTTTAACCCACGGAGGACAGAAAGGGAATTGTCCTAGGAACTGAAAAAATAGCCCTTTCCTAGCCACCACTCCTTTCACTGTTAGATGTGTGGAGAGGCATGGCGGTACATTCAAATCTAAAAACGTGACTATATATATATANGTTTACACACATATATACTAATATATTAAATATTATTTCCTTTGAAATGAAAGTAAAGATTACAATGTATATATTTTTCATCGTTCAATTAAAGATTCGATATTACTCAAATTAAACTTATACAGAGAGTATTGTGATGGAAATAAAAAATAAAGTAAATTAAAACGAATACGGTTACGTTTTCCTACTAGTGTGCGACCAAGAAAAGAAATTTTAAAAGCTGTGTTTCTTCGTCGTCTTGAATGTAATGATAAAAAAATATTGTAGAATTATTAAATATCACACTACAATCATAGTTTTTCGATATAACGTTTTTCGATACAAAGTTAACAATGTTAAACTTGAAAATGTAACCAGCAAAAATTAAGTGACGTATGTTTGTCTAATGTAATAGATTTTTCATCACTTCATAAAAAATATTGAAATATTACGAAATATACATTCAATCGAATTGTGTGTTAACTACCAATACATAACGTTACGTGATTTATCCTTGGATTTTAACGAAACGTTTCTTAATCCCTTCCGGTCCAGTACCGTGCGTTTCTTATAAATAATGAAAAGCAAACGTAAATGAGCATCATTCACTTGTGGACAGTCACGGAGGAACAATGAATACATTTGCCGTTCTATTCGCCTGCATCGTTGTTGCAACATGCGCGCCATTTGAAGGACAAGGCGAAGAAGTACTTGGAAGGCATCAAGAACATCACGACTATTATGTCAGTATATGAAATTTTATTAATTGGAAAAATTAACATGTTAATTAACTACTCGTTACAGGCTCCACCACATTACAGCTTCGAATATAAAGTTCACGACGAGCATAAAGGTGACGTCAAATCTCATCATGAGACCAGGGAAGGCGACAAAGTCAAAGGATTCTACATGCTGAAAGAAGCCGACGGCACTGTCAGGGAAGTTCATTACACCGCCGATCACAAAAATGGTTTCAACGCTGAGGTCAAACGAGTTGGACATGCCGTACATCAAGAGGTACCAGTGTACCAACAAAAAGTAGAAGAGCAAGGCCAGAAAGAACATTACGACTACTATGTAAGTACAAGCCATAAAAATCTATTAATTGAGAATATATTGAAATAATTTTCGTCTTAATTTTAGGCACCACCTCATTACAACTTCGAATACAAAGTCCACGACGGGCATACTGGAGATGTCAAATCTCAGCATGAGACTAGGGAAGGTGACAAAGTCAAAGGATTCTACATGTTGAAAGAAGCCGATGGTACAGTCAGAGAAGTCCATTAAACCGCTGATCACAAAAACGGTTTCAACGCTGAAGTCAAAAGGGTGGGACATGCTGTCCACCAAGAAGCACCAGTCCCAGTGAATCACCAAAAAGTAGAAGAAGAACAAGGCCATGAGGAACATCATGACTACTACGTAAGTACATGACCTAAAAATCTATTTATTGAGAATGGGTTGAAATCATTTTCGTCTTAATTTTAGTCACCACCTCATTACAACTTCGAATACAAAGTCCACGACGGGCATACGGGAGACGTCAAATCTCAGCATGAGACAAGGGAAGGAGACAAAGTCAAAGGATTTTACATGCTGAAAGAAGCCGACGGCACCGTCAGGGAAGTCTATTATACCGCTGATCACAAAACTGGTTTTAACGCTGAAGTCAAAAGGGTAGAACATGCCGCCCACCATCATTTCTAAGCAATTCTTATTCGAAAATTGTGAAAAGTGACAGAAATTGTACTATTGTATAATAAATTATAAAATTTACTCTTACTGTTTTTTTTCCTTGATTGGATTCCTATAATATTTTATACTGGCAGCATATCATAAGATAGTCAAGTTAACTAATAAAATTTAATTGAAATCCCCTTCACTTCCCAGTAACGTATTTATATTAAGAAACAACTATAAATGAGGATCATTAATCAACCGTTACCAAGTAAACCTTAACAGAATTTTGAATGTTCAATAACTTCTTTAGTACAGTTTATTACGTGATATAATAAAGGTTTATTTTCAATTACATCCAGGATAGAGTTGGAATAATATTGCACGCTTTAAAACCGAAAAATTACCAAGATCAGCGTTGAAATCGTTTCTATTGTTGCATTTCGGCCTGTGACACTACTTAACTATTTTAGTATCATTCGAATTTCTCTACCGTGTAAAGATAACTTTGTCACTGATTGGGGTTATAAAAGTTCATTTACACGCTATTCTGAATCTTAAATAAAATAAAAAAGAATAAATTAGTTAGGTCTTTCGAACAATTGACAACATTCAATCGACGGCAAATGGGCAGGTGAAATGCTAGAAAATGCAGGCATACACAGATGTTATTTAATATTCTCACAGCGCACTCCCATTAACCAACAACAGTTGCACTAATTTCATAACAAAATTGCTCTTCATTCATATCGTAAATTAAAACTAATGAACCTTTTGTTTTGTTATCAAATAGGATTGAATTATTGTTGAATTATATTAATTATATTGTAGGAAAACTAGCAATTTACTAGAAATTCATTAAGAAACCATAGGTGAAAATAGTTTTATCAACCATAATATCAATAAATCATATACACAAAACAGTGTAATTATCAATGTAATATGTAAGTTCACTAGTTTTCGTGGCCCGCCTACCAATTAATATCTTTCAATTAATTAAAGTTTTTAGTTGAGATAAAAAAGTCAGTGTCACGAGCGGGATTCGAACCCACAACCTTCGGCTAGATAGGCCGCTGCTCTAGCACTTGAGCTATAGTAACCTTGATCCACTCGGACACGAACTTCCCATTTCAACACCACCTTTTGAATTTTCCCTACTTTTTGCCATTTTTCAAATATCGTGTGATATATTCTCGGCGACAAATGAAATGGCCACGGAAAGCTTTAGTAATCTTTCTTATCTAAACTAAAAACTTTAATTAATTGAAAGTATACTATGTAAGAAAATCGTATGTAAAACATCATCGAATTAATCTAACGTAATTTACTTTAATATAAAATTAGCAGTTTCACAATAAAATTTGATTATCAAAAAGCCTGCATTTTAGGCAAAGGGTACAGAAAGGCACGTATTGATGTTGGGCAAGGGTGAGCTATGCCAAGAAGAGGCCAGCCCAGTATTATATGGAACAGGTCTTGCTTAGATGCTCATGACCATTTTAAGACGACTTCCACCAGCAAATGGGCCGACTTGAATCCAATTTCCTTTAGACAGTTTTATTTTGAATATTTGGCAGAAAACTATTAGTGGAAAAAATACTCTAGTGAATTCTCGATTTTTTGTTTTTCTCTAAGTTTCTTCCCAATTCCGCAAAGCTTCTTATTGTCGATTAGGCAGTACTTTGAGAATATCCATCCTGACTACACCTAGGTTTTTTCGATGAAACAAAGCGGAGATCCGCTCATCTTTCATTGGCATTACCTTCCCGATGGTACATCGACCGTCATACGAGATTGTTATGAAGTTTATTATCACCCTTAAGATTGTGGTCTCTCATAACTTTCCTTCTTTAATCACCATTCAAAAGCACACTACTCAACGTAGGACGAGTGACATGGCCTGTGTAGCATTCATCTTCAACTTCACCACGTCCACCACCCAAACTCCGGTATACCTTAGCAATTTTCGACGGTATAATAACATACAGTATAATCATAGGTGGGCCGAACGAGTAGCCTTAAACTTCAAGCTGTCCACCAAGGCGTTCTGATTACTGTTTAGAAATACGTGGTCTTTTTTCGTGGTAATGTAAAGCAACTTTTTTCCGCGTATGGAGTCGTACGCATTGTTCCTTCAGTACTTAAATTTTCGTCTACTGTGTCCATCTCTGCTGAAACATATTCTTTTTTTATGAGCTAAAGAGAAGAATTTTGTGGAGTATGCTATCAATAAGATTTAGGTAGTTGAAGAACGGTTTTCTCACGTATTTTTTACGTGATACGTTTCTCATAACCTTTCCTAGATATTGCAGAGATGTTGCATAGGATATGTTCTGCGTTTCTTACTTTCCTAGTCATAATCAACATTAGACATCTGTTGATAGTCTGATTTTTCAAGCTAAGATGTGACTGAAGCTTATCCTCTAAATATGCCAGTTTTTCATGTCTTCCTGTTAAGGAATCCCTCTTTTTCCGATTGGGATGTTTTTGGCGATGAGACTATATCCAAAAATGTATTTGGGCCTATAAGTTGTTCTGAGGCTGCCTTTTTAGCAAGTATTGTATATCTGCTGCCTCGTTTCCGGAAATTTCCTCATGACCTCGTACCCATATTAGCGTTAGGCTATTTGTGTTTTAGGTCTTTAGGCAGTCCAGACAAGTTTTGACATACCGTAGGCCTAGAAAGTCTTTTGAGTTGCCTGGCTACCTGAAGATATGATTATTCTCCTACATTTTAGATGTTTATCATTTATTTCATATGTGCATCTTTTTATAGCTAGCAGTTCAGATTGTTGTAGTGTGATGAAGACCATGTAGTGCTCAAAGCTAGGCCCCTTTACGATCAATCATACCCACACAATTTCCCAGCCACGAGTTATTAATTCATCTTCTTTTCTGATAGTAGATTTTTCATTTTTCAGATTTTCGAGAAGTTGGGAAAATTTTGCCGTATAAGGCACCTATTCTAAAGCTTGGGAAAAATATTCGGTAACAGCTCGCACACATATTTTTTACGATTTAATGATTTCAAAGCTCCAACTATTATAGCGGCATCTATAGCGGTGCTTCCTAAACTGTGGTCTCCTTGAATACTATGCTCATAAAATGTTTGTTTTCATAATTGTCCGCTAACCTGCCCGTCAGGAAGTGAGTGATATGGCCGGATGATCATGTAATGTTGACTGTTTCTGAGGCATCAATATGCTTCTCAATAGGCACTGGACTACATCACATTATTTTAATATTCGACTGTATGTTACACTCAATGTTTTTTGTACAATTTCTTTAGTTAAGAGCTTTCATTTCCATGTCTACATATTGTACCTCTTGTATAAGCATACCCAGCAGAGAAAATGCCTGCATCTGACAGACCAATCAACGTGGATAGACAGAATTTATTTTTAACAGTTTATTCATCGCCTTATGTAACTACATGTTATTGAAGTCAAAAGCACTAGGTCTTACAACAGAATATTTTAAAACCCTATTATAAAGTAAGGAATAAAATCGTTTTATATAAAGTCATTCCATTCCTTTAAATACTAAAGCATAATATGCTTTAAAAAAATTCGAATTTTGAACAATGGTTATTCATTTAAGAAAAAGCCACTCGGTCCAAAGGGTAACTTGTACGAATTTGGACGCAAGAAAGTACAATGGATGTATAGTACAAGGGAAGTATTTGTTTCTAAAATTAAGATCTCAGAGCCCATAGTAAAGTAGTATCTATCCGATGTTTTTGTGACCCAAAGAAGTACTCAATTCAATTTGAATAGAGAATTTAAAAAAATTAATGTTAGTTATCCAACCAGTTTTAAGATCACTGAACTCGAACATTCTCAGCTTGCTCATGGAATTGAATTGAAAGAGGTAACTAAATAGGTCAAAATTATTCTCTACTGTGGACTTCATAATACGCAGGAATAGAGGAAAACAAGAAGGATCCATACAATTTGAGAACATCATAGAAGTAAATTCAAAGAGAGACTGAGGAATCCAAAAATATCCTAGTTGGATTTGAAAAGGAAAGTAATTCTAGAATACATTAACACAGGCAGAGACTCTGAACCTTAACTGTTTTCTTGAGGAGGCACTGCAAACTGAATGTGTGTCTGAGAAACATGGTTGATATACGTAGTGTCACTCAAGTGCAGGATGATTGAACGCATTTAATTAAATGCATGTTTTTAACAGCCTCGTTTATTTAAGAATACAACGAACTTATCCCGTGTTTATATTGATTCTTTAAAAGTGATGATGATATTCTGGGACTTTGTGGACGGCGTGTCCTACTCTTTTAACTTCAGCGTTGAATCCGTTCTTGTGATCAGCGGTGTAATGGACTTCCCTGACTGTGCCATCGGGTTCTTTCAACATGTAGAATCCTTTGACTTTGTCGCCTTCCCTTGTCTCATGCTGAGATTTGTAGTCACCCGTGTGCTCGTCGTGGACTTTGTACTCAAAGCTGTAATGGGGCGGCGCCTAGAATGGATAAATTAATTAACTTCATATCGGTTAACAAGTTCCCCAATATTTACATAGTAGTCGTGATGTTCATGATGGGGTTTCTCTTCCTCGACTTTATGATGGTATTCTGGGACTTCGTGGACGGCATGTCCTACTCTTTTCACTTCAGCGTTGAAACCATTTTTGTGATCAGCGGTGTAATGGACTTCCCTGACGGTGCCATCGGGTTCTTTCAACATGTAGAATCCTTTGACTTTGTCTCCTTCCCTCGTCTCGTGATGAGATTTGACGTCACCTTTATGCTCGTCGTGGACTTTGTACTCAAAGCTGTAATGAGGTGGTGCCTAACAGGAACAAAACACGAGCTTAAAAATTATAAACAACGCCGGATAAAAAATTAAATTACTTACGTAGTAATCGTAATGGTGTTCGACACCTCCTTCACCTTGTTCTCCCATCGGCGCACATGATGCAGCCGCAATGGAAGCCAATAAAAGTATAAAAGTGTTCATTGTTTGGTTCAAGCTAGTTCACAAAAGACTGATACTCTTTACGTTTGACTTTCGGTTTTTATAAGCAAGGCTCGTTATTAGACCGTACAGGATTAAGAAATAATTATTTACTTTTGAAGGGTAAATCATGTAACTTTATACATTATATATGCAAAATCCAATGAATATCCCGTTGTTATTCATGTAGGTCAAAGATTTCACAAACAGAAATTTCTGAAAAGAATGCACGGAATATTTTTAATAATTTTTCTATGTTGAATAGTAAAACAATGTATAAAGAATCAAAAAGGAATAAAAAAGTTTACTGTGAAAAAATTTGTCCTTTTTTTTTCTTTTTCCGTCGGTAGTTTCATCAGGCTTTTTAAGATGAGATAGTGGATTTTTGTTATGTATAATTTCAGCATCTTATATATTTATGTATTTCCTTAAACCTCAAGACCGCATTTATTTAAAAAGTCCACTATCTCAGAGCATACTTTTATATTTTCTATTGTTAATATTGTGTCTAAAGTACAAAGGTTCTGCAAGTTCATCTCTATATTCTTCGTACTCCTGGCACTCCAGGAGCGAATGAGGGCGTCCTTTCTTACATGTTTCACAATTGGGTGTATTTCTTTTACCTGTTCAGAAAAGGTAAGCATCGCAATTGTAGATTTTTTTATTGTCACATTTTGGCTAAATAATCAAGGAATTCTAAAATTAACCAACATTGTCGAACAAAATTCAGCCTTGTTTGATTTTTCAATAAGTAAGGTTACATGATTTTTCCCTTGAAAATAAGTGTATGTTGCTTAATCTAGTACGGTCCAGTTCCGAGGGTAAAAGCAGCCTTCGACGTACCACCAACTTAAATAACAAAAATTAAATTCCGAGTCGTTATCCTATGTTTTGAGAAAAATTGTTACTTTTACATTTTGTTACAAATTACATGTGTCACACTGCGAGAGACAATTTTCAGTGTTATTATCTACCCCTTTTGTACTGTGTAAGTAAGACGTCTGTGCTCGCCAATTAATTATATTTTTGGTCCTATGAATATAATCTTCAATCCATTAGATTTCGTAGTCCGATTGACCAAATAACATCTTTCAATTAATTAATCTTTATGTAAGGTATTGGTTGAGATAAAAAAGTCAGTGTCACGAGCGGGATTCGAACCCCCAGCGCAGCTGCTCTACCTCTTGATGTCACGATAGCTCAGGTGGTAGAGCAGCGGCGTATCTAGCCGAAGGTCGTGGGTTCGAATCCCTCTCGTGCCATTAACTTTTTTCATCTCAACTAAAAACCTTAATTAACTGTAAAGTATTAATTGGTCAAGCGGACCACGAAATTAGTGAATTTAATAAAGAAAAGGTTTTTCTAAAACCCACGTCACACCAGACCGCATCTCACGATCTCTAAGTAATCATTAATGTTTTATTTTATTTTTGTAAGATCATTGAAACAAATAATTATACAAATTAAAATTTAAATTAGGTTCATTCCACCTATTGGAACAATTACAAATTAATTGCGACACCTATACCCATGAGTACTTCGGTAACTTTTGGGCATGTCCACTGGTTCCTTCGTTGGGAAGATTTAGGTATACCCTTGGAAGAAGTCATAGAAAAATAAAAATAAGAAAAATAGAAACCAAAGATAATAAAAACCTTTGGAAGACAGGTAGCCTCAAGTGAGTGCAGTGTAAACGCCTAAACCGTTGCGGCCACCGGATAATTAAATCAATATTTCAAATACCAATAATAATTAGATTAATCAACAAAGCTTTATTCAAACATAAAAAATCATTTCCACAATAATGGCTCAAAGAATTTTCAGAGCAAGCCTATTAAAACGTATAAAACTAGTAAAAGTATGCTTTCAATAAATTATATAAATTATTTAACAATGTATAATGTAAACTATAATTTAATTCGAATTCAAAACCTGATTTACATTACCCAACAAAATATACAGCCCAAGAAAAACTGCCTAAGCTTTATTTACCATTTTGCCCAATTTATATAAATCATTGTATTATCGAACTGATCCTTCTAGCGTGTCTGGCAAGTGGGTGAAGGTCGTAATGTAATAACATCCTGGCCAGAATGGAATTTCTTCTCAGGCTAATTTTTCGTCACATTGAATATATATAAGGAGGAAAAGATCAACCTAACAGCCATTTAACCTTCCGGCTTTGTGGAAGGAAGTTGTACCACTTTTGGTTTTTGTGCGGTTACAGAAGCTAAGCTGGCCAAAAATGAATAAGGATATTTGTAATTTATTCTTAATAAATTAATTTTAATTAAATTATGCGATATATTCTTGTTTGTTGGATAAAACAAAATAGAAAATACAAACACTAACAAACAAAAATTAAACCTCATTTTAATAACGGATTCACTTAAGAATAGTAACATGAAGAATACTCATTTTGTAAATAAACACCTATTCTCGTCTTTTCTCCATTTTAATCCAGTTGTATTCTCTTCAACCACGGAAAGACATCATCTTGAACCAGAATTCGCAATATTATTGTGCAAATGAATAATCGAGGTGACTGGCAAGTGGATATCGCAGAGGCAGATGACGTTTCTCATAGCGTGTTCTCCCGGGTATTAGCCCGATTCTGTGAGACGGGAAGTACCAATAGGATGCCTGATAGTGGATCTCAGCGCATTACGACGCTAACGGAGGACATAAATATTGTCATTGATATTTTTAGATCTTAAATGAAGTACATATTTTGGCAAGGCCACAAATGATTATCAACATAAATGATTCGTAATCGTTCGTGGGAAGTTGGCCTCACATTGTATGCTCTGCAGCAACAGTGTAACCTCTTTTAAGATTTTCCAGGGCACAAGCATTGATGGCATGTATTTCCGCTTGAAAGACCGAAGTGTACTTCCCTAATGAGTTTGATTGCTCATGTTTTGGGCTTGTACAGAAAACGCCTGATCCGGTTCCTTCGTTTGTTTTGGAGCCATCTGTGTACCATATCATTGTATCTGATGCTCTCCTGTGTTCTTCCTCTCCTTTATAGTCCGTTGAGACTTTATAGGAAGTTGTGAAGATTGTTTCCGGGATCATGTAATCAGTCCCCATTTCTAATAATAGGTGTCTGATTTTGTTGATTATGGTTGTATGCCCGAATTGTTTAGTTCCTTTCCAATTTAATTGTTTCTGGAGCCTAAATGAGCTTTTCCTAGCCTCCCCTTGTAACCATTTGGCTATATGACCATCCCTAACCCTTGTAACCAAATATTTCCAGTGAGGGTAGGTTTAGCAAAGTTTTTAATGCGTTTGTAGGGGTTGTTCTCATCGCCCCTGTGATACGTTTGCTAGTCTTTGTATGCTGCCTAATGTTTGGGTAGCTACTTTTTGTTGAGCTTTGTTTCTCCAGATTAGTGATCCATAGGTTATTCTGGGTCTTATTACTGCCGTGTATAGCCAATAGGCCATTTTCGGTTTTAGTCCCCAAGATTTGCCTAAGGTCCTTCTTGTGGCCATTAGCGATATTTTACCTTTTGCTATAGTATGTTGCAACTGAGGATTCCAAGTTAATTTCTTATCAAAGATTATTCCTAAATATTTTACCTCATTTTTAATACCAGCATTTCGTTATAGAAGCGTAATCCTTGTATTTCTATATTTCTTTTCTTGGAGAAAGCAATTAAGGTGGTTTTTGAGGAGTTTACTCTAAGTCCCCGTTTTAAACACCATTGTTCCACCAGGTTGAGTGCTCTTCGGGTGAGCTCTTTTAATGTTGAATCGAATTTCTCCTGACTCGTATGACAATGTTATCTGCATAGCCGTGGGTGTAAATTCCACTTTCATTTAGCTTGCATATGAAGTCGTCCACTACCACATTCCACAGCAGAGACGAGAGTATTCCTCCTTGCGGACACCCCCTCGCCACCACTGCTTCTACTTTTTCGTGGAACATGGAGGCCGGCACTTTCCTGCTTTTTAGCATTGATTCTATCCATCTACAGCAAGTTTCGTCTGTTCCTCGCTGTTTTAGTGATGTAACCATTGCTTCGAAAGGAATGTTGTCAAATGCTCCTTCAATGTCCAAGAAGGTTCCCAATGCCATTTCTTGGTGTTCAGTGGATCCTCTATTTGTATCGTTAGTTGATGTAGTGCTGATTCACACGATTTTCCTTTCTGATAGGCATGTTGATATTTATGAAGAAGTTTTTCTTTTAAAGAACTACAGCAACAGCCCGCCACCAGCGGAGGAGAATATGGTGCACCTAGCGCCTAGTCTAAGAGAACATCAATCGGAATGCTGTTATGTTTACTGATGAGTCGCGTTTCTGTCTGAATAGTGAAAGCAGGCGCCGAAGAGTTACCGAGTGTGCCCCAGTTCGTTCATTGCAGTTTGGAGGAGGAGGTGTCATGGGCTGAATTAGGATTTACACTAGAACCGGTCTCCATATTGTTGAAGGCAACCTCACGCACCGCAGTCTGTTATGTTCAAGGAATACATCCCTCAAACTAGGGATCTCATTGGCAGAGATTTTCGATTGCTGTATGACATGCCAGACCTCATAGAGGCAGAGTTGTTCATCAATATTTAGAAAACCTGGGAATTTCCCATCTGCCCCTTCCTTCATTGTTTCCAGATCTGAATCTCATTGAGCACATGAGTGATGCATTGCAGAGAAGGCTTTTCGATCACCAGCCACGGCAAGTTGACCTGCAACATCTGAGTGCAGCGTTGCAACATCTATGAAGTGAAATTAGTGACACCCTTATTGACAGTATGCCTAACAGGTGCACAGAGAACAATAAAAATTATTGCTTGGTATTAATTGTTTAAAAAATTGTTGTGTCCAATTAACAAAATTAAAACCTTTTATTTTGTTCATTGTCAAATTCCCTTAATTACATTTTCGTTCAGTAAGAAACAACAATTTCTAATACATTTTAATGAAATTTACACTAAAAATAAAATAAAAATGCTAAGGAAAGTAAATACTACAAAATGGGCAACATCCCTGTTCATTCTTGAGCAGTTTGCTAAG